TCATCATTGAAATTGTGAAATAAATAAAAAATAATATATTTATTATAATTTCTAGGCTCCGACTAGGCCCCGCCTAGGCCCTGACTAGGCGCTCTAGGCGCTAGGCGCTGGTCGAGCGCCTAGCGATTTCTAGAACACTGGCTGCCTCTATAAAGAATATATAAATTAAGATTATTAGCAACATTTCAATCTGTTTTATTTTTTAATTAAATGAATAATATAACAATAGAAGTGCGCTCAAATGAGAATGAAACACAATGAAAGAAATAAGAATAAATCTGTATCATTGAATCAATCAAATTAATGGTTATGATCAAGTCAAATTTTAATATCTAAGTCAAACATGTGATGGCATTATGGTAATTAGTTGATCATATAGTGGTCAAATATATGTATTTCACCACATATTAAGGGTATAATTGTCTTTACAATAATTAACAACTCATTTGGTGGAGCCCACACCAACTTACCCTTTTTCTTTTTCACGCACTTACACCATAACACACACTACACCCACCCGTCAAACACACACACACACACACACACACGGTATTCCGGCAGCCAGACCCGCCGCGCCGCTGCCCGCCTCCCTCAACAACTGACAGTCGGCTCTTCTCCTCCGGTGACCATCCACAGTCGGATGTTTTTCTCCTACGACCTCTGAAAACGCTTCACACATTCGCCGCCGTCGGGGACCACCATCACCGGCGCCTTAACAGATGGCCGACGCGATTCCTATTTCCGACACAGATCTGAACGAGAGAAAGAGGCTCTCGTGGACAAACCGGCGTATCGCCCGCCGTCCATATCCGCCGCTGCGTCTTCTGCAACGTCGACCCGCTGTCTGCTGAGGAAGGTTATGAGACGTCGCCGCTGTGCTCGACGTCGCCGGGAACCCAGATCTGGAAAAATTCTAAACGACAGTGGTGGCGGCATCTTCGATGGCGGCGGTGGGTGGTGGTGCTGCCGAGGAGGCCGACCATTGATTTGTGTGAAGATTGAGGAGGCTGATGTAGGAATGAGATTGAGGGCTTGTGTTTGGAAATTAGATAAGCCATAGGGTCCTACTTGCAAATTAAGAAAATTTATTTTATTTCGATTTAGTACATGAGTTAAATTTGTAATTTTTAAAATATAAGATTACACAATATTAATTAATAATTCACACATATTAATAAGAGAACAAAATTGATTGAATTTTTGTCACAAATCAATATAAAATTGAATGGGAATATTTGTTAAACTAATAATAATTATCAATAATAATTTTTTTACATTGTTATGTCGGTTCTACATTTTTGGTTTTTTAATAAAAAAATAAAGTCGATGTTGTATCGAAAAAATCGACATCTTAAAAAGTAGAAATAGATGATTAAGTTGAAATATGAAAAAATCAAATCAAAAATTTTATTTAGTAGATTTGTCTGTTGTTGTGCAGTCCTACAATCATTAATGTGCAATTTGTCTTGTGATATTGTGCACGGTTCCTGTTGTTATTGTGCATTTTTGTCCGATAGAAAATTTGTCACAAACCAATTTGAAACCGAACCAAATTACTTAATTTATTCGGTCAATTAACCGACTATACTAATTCAAAAAAAGTACTATTCATGTTAAAAATGCATTTAGTATTTTAATAATTTAATTTAATATTTTTATATTATTATTGATTGGAAAAAGCATAATATACAAAACACCAAAATCATAAATAATGTGCAATCCTACAATCATTAATGTGCAAGTTGTCTTGTAATATTGTGCACGGTTTCTATTATTGTGCATTTTTATCCGATAGAAAACTTGTCCTAAACCAATTTGAAACCGAACTAAATTATCGAATTTATGCGGCCAGTTAACCGACTTATCCTAATTCAAAAAATATGTATTATTCATGTTAAAAATACATTTAGTATTTTATAAATTTAATTTAATATTTTTATATTATTATTGATCGGAAAAAATATAATATACAAAACACCAAAATCATAAATGTGCACTCTTATGCACAATATATACATTTAGTCTAACATGTTTGTGCAATATATTAAGCGACTATTGTGCATTCATATAGTAATTAACGTGTGGTTCATCTAATATTATTGTGCACCCGCATCGCATGCATTTAATATGTACATTTCAATTTTAGGAACATTTTTAATGTGTATTTCAATCAAATTATTTTGCATCTATCAAATCATTTATATATTAAAACTGTATTTAGTATTTATTTTTTTGTTTTGAGATATTTTATAATATTTTTTGTTAAAACTAAACAATATATAACACTATTGTGCGATAAACACTAATGTGCATCATTTCTAACATTGTTGTGCATTATATGTAAATCCAAATGAATATCCAATTAGAATAATCGCGTTATTTGAGTAGTTAACTGAAATAACTTAAATAATTTTTGTAAAAAATATTAATTATATCGTACAAAACATTTATAGTATTTTAATATTTTTATTTACTATCTTATACTAGTTTTAGTTGAAAATACATAATATATGTGTATAAACAATAATAGAAATAGCATTTTTTTATATATTTTTATAAATTACTGATTTGGCCCAAATACCAAACTGAAAAATCATGAAAATTATTAAAATTGCAACCAAATCCTTACAAATTATCTAATTCTAAAACTAAAACCATACTCCTAATTAGATCTACACTGCACATCCATCTTGAAATTAATTCTCTGGACGCGATCGACGGCAAGTGGTGGCGTGGCCG